GTGATCAAAACTATGGACAGTATTATAAGTGTGGTTGCACCATATATTTATGTAAGTGGACTATGATCCTGGAAGTGTTATTGTCAGGTCCTTCCCTAATTATGCATTACATGTAATTTACCTTTTCTCACAGCAGCCACATGCTAGGTTTGCATTTTCATCAAGCTGTCTACCACAACCCCAAAATCTTGGGATTTTTTTTGCCCCAAAGTGTCTTTCTTGCTGATGAAGAACCACATTTGCCATTTGTACTCGCAGTCTGGAGAGTTCTCTTTGGAGCTTCTCAGAATCCTTTTAATTTTAACCATCCTACATGGTTCTGCATCATTAGCAAACTTGGCCGCTTCTCTGCTCATTCCTAATTCCATAACATATATAAACATGTTGAACTTCATCTTACTTCAGCTTAGGTTATTAAAAGGCCCTCTTGCTCCAAAATCAAGAAATCTTAGTCAACTATGAGTCACTACAGATATGCACTCTCTTTGTCTACCTTTGAAGAGAAAAAGAGATCAGTGCCCTTATTTTCATTTTATCTCAGGAAACCAAGTGAAGTTCACTATTAGCTGGGTGTTTTTACGATGTTCAGAGGCAATGATGTAATGTTTCTACTGTAAAACAGAAAATATCCTACATATTGCTCCCTATTATCTGACCTCCTTTTCGTTTCTACATACCATGCTATAACCATAATTAAAACTATACAGGGGAGCACATTTATGTACAGCAAAAAGCATCCTACTATGAGATAAGTGTTGCATTATGTTCCGGCAGCAGGTACTGGATAACATCAACCAGTATAAAAGTAGCAGAGAAGGAGTTGGATAAATCTTGAAGGAGTTGGTTCATTTGACCAGTTTAGGGACATGTCTGCTGGCACAATCACAGGAGCTATATCCTAGCAGTGGGTTGGGCCAAAGGCAAATGGGCAAGTCCAAAATACAAATAATACCAGCATCTTCTAGCTGAAACTTCTTACTGCGCATAACTAAACCTTAGGAGAAGCATTTCAACCTTCTGAAATGAAAAGACTACAAAAGCCACAAAACTGCCAAAGTATTGGAAGGAAGAGCTGGGGCCAGGGAAAGTGAGGTGGCCATCTGGGGAGCCAAAAAGGCTGAAATGAAGTCTATGCAGGGCTGGATTGGGCTCTCAGGCCAGAGGCTTTGCACTGCTGGTATAAATGAGTGGGACTGGAGCAGCAACTTCAGTGAGGCCATACATGGAAACTTAGTATTTTCAGTCTTAAGTTGTAGTAGGCCTTGTGCACAGATAAATTCCACTGATTTCAGTGGGATTTCCGAATCAGCACTATTGCCCAATTGGCTCGTTCAGGACATCGGTCCCTCCATCCCTATGATCTTTATGTCCATGAATGTTATAGGCTGAATCCAGACTTTGCCTCCTGTGAATGGAAGGGATCCCTCAGACCATGAAGGTTTCTGATCCATGGCAGGTCTCAGATTCTGCTGGCAGAAGGAGCTAGGAGGCTCTGTTGGATTTCCTGTCCTTCTGTAGTCCTCTATGTTCGTCACAAGATCTGCTTCAGGTGGTTGTAGACCTTCAGGGAAGGTGGAACAATGACCTTTAGGAAGAGATGCCAATTGGCAAAAACCACTTCACCTTCAATTGGAAGAAACATTTCAAGCAGAACTGCATTCAGGATGCTAAGACCGTTAGAAACACGCTCTGTATCTGGTCCAATCAGGCATTGTGAGAATCATACCAATGATGGGTGGGGTTTTAATACATCCTATAGAAAAATAGCACTGGCTTATTATATACCAGTGTAAATGATCTGAGACCACTGGCAGTTTCCCCACTGTATGTGTGCTATACTTTAGAAATATGGAGTGAGTTCAAAAACTGTTTTTATTTTGATTACTTGCAAGAAAAATGAATGATTGGGGGGGGGATGGGAGATTCAAATGTTGTCTCCATATGTTAACATTGAACTAATTCCTTACATTAATTGAAGGCTTATTTCTGCAGACAAATATTTGTAGTGATTGAAGAGGGCATTAAAAACAACATTTACTTTTGCCACTGTCAAGTTCTTCCTTGTTACACCATTATAACCATGCAAATGAAAGTAACATTTAAGCTGAAACCAAATTCAACTACTGTCCTAATTTTGTTCCTTAAGAACTGCTTATTTTAATGATGCTTTTGTATAGTATTTTAAGAGTGCTACACATATAATTATGCTTTACAATAAGTGTAAAAACAAAACATTATTGCTACATCTGTTGTGCCTGGAAGGACTGGTGATCTTTTTTTACCATTGCTGTACAGAGAAAACATGTCTCATATGTGTGACTTTCATGTGTTTTAACCCATAACTCACTCTTGTTTTATCATTCAGCTGTAATTCATGAATTATCCCAAAATACCTATGTGAATATGTACAGTATCTAATCAACCCAGACACAAGCATCTTTCTGAAATCTTTGTAAACAAACAAACAAAAAATAGCAAGCCAGAACCACTTTCTATTCCTTGCTTTTGTCCCATGGTGTTAAATATCCACGCCCCTTTCAATTTTGTATCAAATTGACATTTAATGTAATGAGGTACAAGGCACCCTATTTTCCCTTTTTGAAATGAGTGGGAATGTGGAATGACCAGACTATTCTATTCCAACCCCTTATCAAAATGAGACTGAAGAAACCTTAGAATTTTGTCTGTATCACAAATTCAGTTTTTATTTATTAAATTTGTATGCCGTCCAATTACTTGTGTCTCTGGACAGCTTACAACATAAATAAATTGATAATACACTCTGGCTGCATATTAATAAAATACAACAATATAATTCAGTACTAAAGCATATTAAAATATTGATAAATAAAAAGGTTTCTCATGTGGTTGTGCTGTTTCAAGAACATTGGTAAGGAGCAGTGGGGGTTGTAAGAAATTTGGTATATTCTTGAAGGGGGCAGGTGGGATGCCTATTATAAAGCACTGCATGAGTCTACTGGACCCCAGGAATAAACTTTGCCCTAGGGGATGGATTCTGATCCATTCTCACAACACTGATTTCTTTTTTCTAATATCCTTTTCTAATACCTTCTCCTATTAGTCTATTAGGGCATTGGACTCCTTCAATTATTTACTATGAGCCCCAGGGATTTTTGTTTGTTTCTGTTTTGCTTTCTCTTCTGTTAACCATGCAAGTTCCAATGTAATCCAAAGGTTTTAGCATTGGACTGCATTTTCATAATGTGCTAAAACTGAGCTCTAATTCCCTCACCTCCCCAAGGCCCTGAAAATGGAGTCATTCTGAAATGCAGTTGTATCTTAAATTAAAACCAAGACTTTAGATGGGCACAGTGGACCCACTGACATTTAAAAATAGTGAAGGGGAATTAAATGCATATTTTCTCTCAAAATATTTATTTCAGTACATATTTTGATCCATTTAAACCACTGAGAACTTTTTATGAAAAGAAGAAAAGCTAAAATCATTTAACTAGCTAAATGTCAATAGACATTGATCTGAGAAAAACACATCAGGTCATTTCACAGAAGAATTTGCAAGGATCAAATTCCTCAATCAACCCTTAGTCATTACCACCTGGAAAAAAAGGGCTAGAAGCTTCTTCAGGTCGGTTTTTCACAGAAGAAATCTGGGCATGCAACTTCACTGCAATCTATAGACAGTGGGGGACAGTGTGCCTCTTCCCACATTCTCAGTTGCCTTTAAGTCTTCTTCTTGCATTACTCATGTGACGTGAATTCACATGTGAACGGGAGCAGCCGGTGCTATGTCTGCTCATCTGAGGACATTTGCTCCTCTGCATGCCTGGTTGTGCACAACCAAAGTACGAGTGCAAAATTAGATCTCGATTCCATTTAAAATCTGCCCTTCAGATTTTAAATCTAGAGACAGCAAGTTCTAGCAAAAAAATCTTTCTGTGTGCAAAAAAGACCGTATGTTTATTGCCCTCTCAACTCCATAATTTCTGAAAGATATAAACAGAATAATGACGAACTGATAGAAATGAAACACACTCACTTGCATCATAAATCAGTTTTTCAATCACAACAAAGTTCTAGGCAGTTTTTGAATATGCCACAGGAGATTATGAGGAAAGGCACTTCACAGAAGTGTTTTAATTACTCCCCCTTTTAAATACACAGATACATACATAATTGAATATTTGCCAGGGTTGAAAGCAATATTATCTTTTAGCAAAGATAAGAGATGCTGACCCATCCCCGCAACCTGTCGGAAGCACAGTGACTGGGTTCAAAGAGCCTCTCAAGCAACAGAACAGAAGTTATACAACAGAAGTTATAATGGAGAATGATTACTGCACTTTAAAAGTGTTGGATCTGCTCCAGCAAAGGCTATCTTTTCACAGAAATGTACATTCTAGAATGGCAGTGAGCTGGGTGGGAAAGACGACCCACATCTAGCTCTTGTTCATCGTGAACAGATGGCATTGTTGGCTCTGACAGCATCAATCCTATGTTTGGGAATGCAGTGACTAAAACTAGAAGTCCCTTCCCCCCACCCCTCACATGTTGACAGTACGGACCATCTGTTAGACACAGGAGATCCTTGCACAAAGGGGCATGTGCTAAGTGCCCTTTGACATACGAGAATCCCAGCATCAAGGTGTTTATGGTTACTGTAGCCTGTGATTTAACCAGATCCAGTTGTATCAGCGTGTGCAAAATCATTTTCAGTTTTTGATTTGTCTAGTCCAGATATCTTAATCCTGAACAGATATTTTTGTGCATGGATGTCCCAATTGTCTCTTTTGTATAGAAAATCTGTTTACTGACAAACAACAGGGATGATGTTTTGTGATGGCATATGATTTAAACAGATGATAGACTGCTTCTTTTGTAGTACTAAGGGTCTTGAGGACCCTGGTGAGCTAAGAGGCAGGTTGTCCTGTAAATGCAGAAATTAAAAAGTAATGCTTAATTAAAGCCTCTTACTAAGTGATAATTGTAACTTTGTCCCTTCTTTTTCTTTCCAAATCTAGATTGAAATACACAATTATGATAGCAACTGGGGGAGTCATAACAGGACTGGCCGCCTTAAAAAGGCAAGACTCTGCCAGATCCCAGCATCATCTCAATCTCACGACATCACCAGCTGCTGAAGAAAAAAAACCAGTCAAGCGCCGCCCAAGGGCAGATGTAGTTGTGGTTCGGGGGAAAATCCGACTTTATTCCCCGTCAGGATTCTTCCTTGTTCTGGGCGTGCTCATTTCATTCCTAGGAATTGCTATGGCCATCCTTGGATACTGGCCCCAAAAGGCCCCTTTTCTTGAGCCTGAAGGCAGCTTGGAACTAAATGATACCCATGTCATAGGAAAAGATGACGGGATTATAATTCGCTTCTTCGAACAGCATCTACATTCTGATAAAATGAAAATGCTGGGTCCTTTCACTATGGGGATTGGAATCTTTATTTTTATTTGTGCAAATGCCATGCTCCATGAGAATCGTGACAAGGAAACCAAGATCATACACATGAGAGACATCTATTCCACGGTCATTGACATACATACTCTGAGGATCAGTGAACAGAAGCAGCTGAATGGTGCCTACACAGGCCTGGCGGCAGAGAACGAAGTCAAGCACAATGTTAGCTCTTGTGCCTCACACCTGGCTGCAAATACAATCGCACCTTTCTCGGGCTTTGCAAGCAACTTTCGAGTGGACAGCAGTGCTGAGGAGGATGAAGCTACTGTGAGTGACAGCAAAAATGCCACTAGCCTTCTACCACCTTTGCTGACTGAGCGCTCTGGTTCAATATTTGGCCTTTACCCCCATTCTGGAAAGACAAAGGATGATAGGAGTGGAAGCTCTCTCAGATGTGAAACAAAGTCGATTGTGTCATCATCCATTAATGCTTTTACATTGCCTGTAATTAAACTAAACAACTGTGTTATTGATGAACCCAGCATAGACAATATCACTGAGGATTCTGCAAGTACTAGAGACAGGCCTAGAAATCTGTCGATGGACTCTTTAGCTGTACCGTTCACTGATACTAATGAAAGCTACAAACCTGCCAGTGCATTGATACCGAGAAGCAATTTATATGGAGACTCTTCATCCAGTCAGTTCCAATCTTCTATGACTCTTGGACCCAGCACCAGAAAGCTTCTCTCACCTGGTGCAGCCAGAAAACAGTTTGGGTCCAACACTTCGTTGCATCTTTTGTCTGCCCATTCAAAATCTCTAGACTTAGATCGGGGCCCATCTACTCTCACTGTCCAAGCTGAACAAAGGAAACATCCAAGTTGGCCAAGACTAGACCGGAGCAACAGTAAAGGTTACATGAAACTAGAAAACAAAGAAGATCCCATGGACAGGCTCCTTGTGCCATCAGCCACAATCAGGAAGGACTTTACTAATAAAGAAAAGCTCCTTATGATTTCCAGATCTCATAATAATCTGAGTTTTGAACACGATGAGTTTCTGAGTAATAATCTAAAGCGGGGAACATCTGAGACAAGGTTTTGACAGTGAGGTGACCTACAATTCATGCATTTGCCAGTATTTTATTTTGAAACATTTTGACACATTTTTGTTTGGTTTTTGTTGCCAGTGCGGACCTGGTTTCACCAAATATTTCTATTGGATTGAGATGGCCTTGTGTGACCAAAGGCTATTTTTCATCTTTGCAATGCCAATTGTTTAATGTCAAGCAGCTTGTTCATCAAGATACTGGCATATTGCCGATTGGATAGTGTTTGTGCCAGGTGGTAATTGGGTGGTAGATTGAAAATTGATGTCTTCTTAATTTACAACTGCAATACTGTACATTACCCTGACTCAGCATATTGAGTGCCTCAGATCCTATTTCCTCCCGGTCATCGCTCTTTTGTTTCCATATAAGCATGCTCTCTTTCATTGTTACGAGTCAACACCAAGAGCTGACTGAATGAATGTCAAAGTTTAGATGCATCAATAATGGCAACATTTTAACAATGGTGCTTTTTAGGAATGGATCCAAGGTTTGGGCCAAATTACGGTTAGGGTTAGGATCCAGAGAGCTACTCAAGGTGCATGCAGTAGAAATTTAGGCTCTTTTCCCTTTTAACAGGCAGATACCTTAACGAAAGCACTGTGTTCCAAGCTGTCGTCAGTTTGCAGAGAGATTTGTCTTGTGGTCAGAGGGCTACTCTTTGAGCAGCCCGAGTCCAAATCTAGCTTGGAACCAGTTGCGTAGTTCTTTGCATTCAGGCCGTAAATTAGAGAAAGGGCATAACCCAGAAGATAATTGCTGCTGCTGCAGAGGAGTTGAAATGAATAATGAAGGTCCCTTTCATTTCAGCAGGGCTTGGTTAAAGGAAATTCCTAGTTGATTGTACTCATTTTCTTTTTATATATGATAATAAGCTAAAAATAAATTGGTTAATATTTAGTAAAGCTGTTACCTTATTGGGTAGGATTTGGGAGGCAGTGAGCATCTGTCTAGAGAAACTCATTTTTGAGAACTTGTCAGATCAAGCTAATACAAGTGTCATGTCTGAAATTAATAACACCGTAACAGGGTGATAGAATAAGCTAGAAACCCTAGGACTGAATTTCCCAGATTAGGGTCCCCTGAAGATGGACTGTCTTTTCCATCATCTCTGACTGTTCGTCATGCTGGGGTGGGGGGTGACGGGAATGATCCTGCAACAACTGTGGAGACACATGCTTGTGATCCACTGGTCTTCGGAAAATAAGACGGTTGGCTGATGATTAAAGCACAGTGCTAACCAACGAAAAATGACCTTACTGAAATTATGTTTATTTATAATTCACTAAGGGTTGATAAAGAAGTAAGAAATAAAATGGAATGTGATTTATACAATTCTACCTGGCAAGAGTGTGATGACATTGAAGTCAAATGGGACATTCAACAGTGCGATAATATACATGTCTTCTCTGAAGTAAGTCCCATTGAGTTCAATGGTGATTACTCCCAGGCAAGTGTGTATCGGACTGCAGCCTAAATAATTGATGTGTGGAGAATGTATTCTGCTGTACAACATAATGTTGTCTGGTTGTAATGTGAACTGAAATACAAACACTGCAATTTATCAATCATGCCAAACTTAAATATGAAACTCCTGTTGACCACATTTCCAGTAAGCGTAACATCACTTAATTGCAGTGATGCACAACATTGTGCACTGCCGCAAAGATGGTTCCCACTAGCTGAAAGTTACTTTTAAAGCAGCTAGTCCTGTGAATGGGTTTAACCAGCACACGCCCTGATGTTGCAGCAGGGGAAACAGATGTGGTCTTGCTGACTAGTCACATCGTAGTCCAGTTCGCCCTTGTGGTTGGCCAATAGGATCACAGTGTTAATTGGTCTTTTCAGCAGATGTTTCGTACTTTCACTTAACCTCAATAACTCAGGAATTATTTTAATAGCTTCTCCCAAAACAATCAGTAATGTCAAAATGTTGTACTTCAGTCGACTGTGATAGACAAAAGATAGATTTTTTTATCTACTATTGTCCAGCTCCATATTCTAACAATGCAACGTTTCAGTGACAAAAAGCATTATACTTGCCCAGTGACTTGAGGCATAGTGTTAACTTGTTAGGATTTCAAGCCTATATATTGTAACAGAGTTGGCTAAATATTTTGCTATGAAGCTTTTAATAACTTTCTGGTCAGTGTTCTTAATACGTTTGCTATTTTTTTAAATAAAAAACTAATGTATAACTGTGTTGGTGTGGTAAAGCTGCATTTTTGGATTTTAATAATTCTGATAATATAAAGATTTTTGTGGGCATATGCTTTTTTAATGGTTCTTCTTAACCTTAATGGTTCTTCTTAATTAAATTGCAACATTTATTCCCAAAGTTAATTAAAGAATTAAGGTTAGGGTTAGGCAGTTGTCAGGATGTGGGCCTCTTGGTGGCCAGAACCAGAACAACCACCACCTTATGTGCAGGATCAATCCCAAGTCCTTCTGGAGGTTTCAGCGTCTCGATGGCACCAGCTGGGAGCTCTGGGGAAAACGCTATGTAAGAGCAAGCTCTTGCCTCCAGACCTGGCCTCTGCAGTGCAGGTTTTCCTGTGGCTCTTGGCCATGCCTCCTGCCTTGTCATGCTGCCTCAGCAGCACAGGGCCTCCACTTGACTGGATCATTCCTGCTCCTGGTTCCTGCCTATCTGTGTTGCCTTGCTGCTGTGCCCACCTCTTGCCTGACCTACATCCTCCCTTGCTCATGCATCCTGCCCCACCATGTTGCCTCAGTAACTCAGGGCTTCCTGCAAGCTGTGCTTCAGCTCCTGTATCTTCTTGACCCTTGCTGCATCTGGTTCCTGTTGTCTCATGGATCTTGCTCTGCTGTGAATCGTGCTGTTTATCTTGCTGTGCTGTGTGCCCCATCCTGTTCTCTTGTCCAAGGCACCTGCACCTCTGTTTGTCCTCCTGCTTCTCAATATGTGGCTTGCTCTTGACCACATCCTTGTTCTGCCCCCATGCATTCTTCTGGTTCCTGACCTCAGCCTGTACCATGACCATGACTTGGTCTTGCCATTAAATCCTTGCCATTAAACTTTGAGCTCTGTCTTTCCTGAAGTTCTGTTGCCCCACTCCTGCTGTCTCCATTTTCTTGTCTCTGGCAGCCCATCTCCCAGCCACAGACCCTGAAAGCAGCCCTTCATTACCATTCTCCCTCCCCACACTCCATCTCTCTGTAGCATAATGTTCTAATATGAAAGGATGGAAGTGTTTTGCTCCTTGCCCATATCAATGGCAGCTGCTGGTAGGAGATGGAAAAATGGCTAAGTCCAACCAAATCCTACAGAAGGGGAGGGAGAAAAAAACGAAGGCACCGATTTTGACAAGAATTCGTTGTTACATGTAGTTCTGCCCTAAGACACTCAGATATTTGTAATATGAGTTTTAATAAGCCTTTGAAATAGGGTTCTGTTTTCTTTTTTTAAAATAAATACAGATATTAAGAGCATCACTTTTGAATACTTGCTGATATGTCAATTTCAATTAGTATTACTGCTTGTGTAAACCTTGAGTTTGGGCCAAGATTGTGGATAACATTACATTCAGTGATGTACCTAGAAATGGCGCTTGTTCCAAGGAGTCCCCCAAATGACCACTTGGAGAGTGACAGGTGAAAAGATCGACAGAAGCAAATTCATTTTATTCTTGAAGTCATAAAGCCAAAAAAATAGTAGCATTGGAAGGGGCCAGAGGGCCATCAAGTCCAAGTTAAACCATTCCTTTCAGATGGCTATCCAGTTGAACCTTAAATGCCTCTAGTGTGGGAGAGCCCACAACCTCCCCAGGTCACTGGTTCCACTGTCATACTGCTCAAACAGGAATTTTTTCCTGATATCTAATCAGAAACTGGTTTCCTATCACTTAAGTCCATTATTCCATAGTGGATATTGCCTGAAGCTAAAGTCAAGATAGATTATGCTCACAGCATTCTCACAATCCATCAGGGAGGTTACTCAATCAAAAAATGAAATCAGATTAGTCTGGCAAAATTGTTCTTGAGAAATTCATGTTGGCTTCTAGTGATCACTGCTCTGTTTTCAAGGTGTTTGCAGACTGACTGCTTTATAATCCACTGTATAATTTTCCAAGGGATTGATGTTAGATTGACTGCAATCCTGTGCTACCTGTATTCTTCTTTTGTAGCCTGGCCTTCGTTTCACTTCCTGTACATATCCTTTTTAAAAGGATGGGCTTTTTCTGTGTCTTTTACCGGTTTTCCCTTTTTTGAATTATTTGTGATTTTGCCTTTAGAATTTCCTTTTTAAAAAATTCCCTCCCATCATGTACTTCCTTTCTCATCAGAGTGACTTGTCATGGGACTTATCATTGTTTTGAGGGTATTAAAATTGGCTTTCCTAAAATCCAGAATACATGTTCAGCTATATTTGGCTTTTGCTTCCTTCATTATTAATAATTCAAGTTCCTTTCCCCCTGAGTTTCTGTAGCTGCCACATTGTCCACTAGGTCTCCCCTGTTGCTTAGTGTCAAGTAAGGGATAGCTGTTCCTCTTATTCCTTCCTTTCTCCACTTGCTGTTGGAGGAAGTTATTAGCAACGCATGTTAGGATTCTCGTGGAGGGGCTGTGATTGGGAGATATCAACAGATATCTCTTCCAACAGATATCAGTGAAATTGAAGTCCCCTATAACTGTGTCATTGTTTCTCTAGTGTCTTCTAGTTCTTCTGTAGCTAATGGTCATCCTTTTCCAGGGAGTCTCCTCCTAATTTTCCCTTCTCTCAGGATTCTCCTCTTCTGCCTCAACTTGCTGTTGCACTTCTAGCTCCTGTGCTGCTCTTAGCTGTTGCAGTTCCACCACTTCGTCTAAAAACTCTTCATTTTTTATTACCTTGCTGCTCTAGTGCTCTCACCTTTTCTTCTAACAGGGTTACTAGCTTGCATGTGTAGGCCATGTTGAGCTCAGGCCAGAAAACATAGCACAGGCGTTGCAGGTTACCATCTTTTTTATTATTGGTCTATTCTTTCTGCTACCTTTTTGATTCTCATTTGCTGGGCTATGAAACAACCAGTGCTTCCTCCCGCCTCCTCTGAAGTCATGATTTAAGTAAATTTAAAATGCAAAACTGCACCTGCTCAGATTGCTTTTTAAATCAGGGTCAGCAAGCAATTTTGCTGTAATGGTTGTAACATATGGAGAATAGAGAAGCAGCTGTAACACACAATGATTTAGAGAGATGCAACCCATGTGTTCTACAACTGAATCCTGAAGTGGGCCTCCATAACACTGTTAAGTGCAGGTTCTAGTTGCACAGCTCAAACTTCCATCTACCTACTCGGATTAAATCCAAATGAATTCCTATGTAATGTACATGATTGCAGCTCTAGATGACACCCACATATAGCAGGATATGATCCTTAAAATGACTTCAACACCATCCCTATGCATCTTGGGAGTCTGTCAGTTCAATTATTTAATATACCTCAATATTAACAAAATCTATCTGGAAATGTACTTTGTTTCACAACAAAAGTTTTGTAGTAGAAGCAGGAAGGTTCACTAATGACAAGCCTGAGAGTTGGGATTTATGTTTCAATTGATGCACCATCAAAATTCTTTCATCAGTAGGAGAGACTGCTGAGTATGACCGATGGCTTTTCAACCCAATGCACCCTTATCTTCAGCTGTGATACTATTTTTATTGAGCTTTTGAAAAGACAGCTAACAAAATTATAATACATGAAAATCATGTTAGCCCATGGAAGCAATATACAGATCCTAACTCTAATCAATATTATTAGGACTAATAATAAAATTACATGGGAAAAAATCAGCATACTAAAAGTGGAAAAGAAAGAAGCAGAATTTCCATAATAAAAACTGTTCAGAAATGTCACCCTGGCCCCCATGATGCCTATTAAAAACTCATCTTTTACCATTCCCCGATGTAAAACTACAAGAAAGCTTATTTTAGTACCGGTCCCAGTAGCTTAGAAGCATAGAATGATACCAAGGGGAATAAACAGAAGGGAACAGGCAAGAATTGGGAATAAACCAGAACATTTACAGCTAGAAAATGCACATATTTCCACTTGAAAACTATGAACTGGAGCAAAGTGCTATGAAAGAGATATAGTACCAGGGTCTACTAATCCAATAAAATGTTGTAAGCCGCCCCGAGGCCTTGGCAAGGGGCGGCATAGAAATGTTTCCATAAATAAATAATAAATAACAAATTTTTGCATCATTCACTCTGCTGATCAAGAAGTATGTTGGTCAGATGGTTCTTGATAAGGACAAGTTGAGCATTCTTTCCTGCATTTTGCAAAAATAAAGGTTTTGTTACCTTAAGACAGGGGAAAGCATTTAAATCTACTAGTAGACTGCCAGGAAAGTTGTAGTAAATTGGCAAAGATTTCTGACTCTGTTGAACTGTTGAACAAGATTTCTGACCCTGTTGAACTCTGTTGTTTAATTCCACCTTGAATTAAATCATACACCTTAAATGGAGTACATTTTGAATAACTAAGAGTGAGCATTTGTGTAGTAGAACTGAAAGCTCTATTCAGTCTAGAACTTGAATTCTGGGACTCAACATTCATAAATTCTAAATAGCTATCCTCAGCACCATGCCCTTGATTAGTTAATCTCATAGTTCTAATGTAAAATAAATTAGATCCTAGGAAAAATCTATCCTCTGCTTTCTAAGGGTAACCCTAACCTTATCCTTTAGCATACTGCTTGTAATCTAACTCCTGGTTTGTATTTTGTTTTAAAATAATTCAGCTTTCAAGTTCAAACTGTTGCATAGCATCACTTTTAACAAACTTATTTAAGGAGCCTAGCCTGTTTTAGGCTAGCTAAACTTCTTTTGTTGAAGATGACCTTTCATAGGCAACTAATACTGACTTCAATTATTAGAATGGAACTGGAGTGTCAAGTTCAAGGAATCAGGTAATAAGGTTTATTTCCAATCTTTAGAAACTGCAATACTATATTAAGATGGTGCAGTAGATCACAGCCTCATTTTCTATCAGTACCAACTTTATTTTTCCAAGGTGTAATTGGAGTTTTTTTTCTTTTTTCAAATAGAAAGACTAACGCTGCTACCCTTGTGTAGCTTAGCATTATTTCAACTCGCTCTGCCTAAAGAAGTTTCCAAACAGTAAATTCCAAAAGCTCACACTGACAGCATTTTGAAGGTTAGCCAGTCCCTTCCTTACAAAATACTTTGTAGATCCA